CTAGCCTAAGGCTGTCGAAGTCTGAGATCCTTTGAAGGACCGCGTTGAAAACCTTTGCTTTTCGCCTCCATCTCCTCCAACACTCGCTCTGGGCCGCCCTCGAACCTGCAGTCGGGGTTCAGGGTGTAGGGCTTAAAGGAATCAGGGCGTAGGGTCTAGGATGCAGGGTTTAAGGGCTATGGTTCGGGGATTAAGGCTAGGGTAAGTAGAGGGCTCAGCGTTTAGGGTTCGGGGTTATAGGGTGAGTATATGGTTTCGCAACATCGAAGGACGCAGTTAGGGTCATGACGGCAATACGTAAGGTAGCTTCAGATGTATGATACATCAGACCATGGATGCAACTAAGGTACTCACTAGTTTCATGCGTAAAGGGTAGCTTTATAGACATATCTACCCATAACCCCAACTGGGGGTGTCTACTATAACCCTACTCACTAGGTGCCGTGGACTGCCAATAAGCTCCAAACTCTAAACCCATAGACCCTTTAATTAGCCCTTAACAAACCACTAAAGCCCTAAACCTTAAACCCTACTAGTATGGTCGGGGGACTCAGTAAGTAGAGTTTTAAGTACCCAAAAGGGATCCGAATTGGGGTTATGGCATGTACAACCCTATAAAACAGCTACTTAGCAAGTCCCCCGACCCTCCGAGTAAAGACCATCCCTCCGATGTTGCGGCAACTACCGAAAACTCCGTTCCGACTCCTAAACCAGGCACCTTGGAACCAGCGCCGGTTCCAGGCATAGCTGCTGCCATCGGGCCTTCGATATTCCGCTCTACAGGAAAATCGATAAGTTCTTGCACGACCTCAAAAGATGTAGGACTTTTGTGATACTCAGTAAACTGGTAGGATTGGATCAAGCGTACCCCTAAACCCGAGATAGTGTAGCCATATTATATACCCTGTATAGGCTCTAAACTCCAAACCCCATCCCCAAACCCTGAACCCAAACCCTAGACAGTTGAGGCTCCTGATATAGGGGTCCTTGAAGGGTTCCTTTGTGGGCTGAGGGCTTAGGGCGCCTTCCCTGTAAGGGTAAACCTGCGAACGGCCTCCAAACACTTTAAAACCCTAAGGGAACAGCTAGTCTTAACCCTAAAGGCAAGTCAGGAGTAATACTTTCAAAGATATGCCCTCGGAAAACACATCAACAAGAGCAAAAAGACACGCTACTCGGAACCCCAGCTATATCATGGTATGACCAAACAAGGACAGTAAGGGCATAAGATGACCATCTATCGACACCCCGATCTGATCTCTCCAAGATGGCTCTGGGACCCTTGTGCAACACTCGCAGCAGCCAGTGGCTGAAAAGAGGGAAAATCCTGCCAACCGTACAAGATCCCTTTTAAGATTACCGCCGCTGTTAATGTTACTATTGCTTTGCCACCTTCAATGCGATTGAAAAAGGGAGCGTTATGTTAACGCCCTTAAAGAAACGAGGTTTATAGGGGTTCACATAACAGTAATACTATCCGGGACTATCCGCTTACATTTCCTACATGACTATAAACACCTACTCTAATTGTTAAGGCTGCTATGCTAACTCTTACCAAAACCTAGAATATTCTGCCGAAGCCCTCGAAAACCCTTTCACAAACAATGTGTCACCCTAACGATCCAAGCACCGAAGAATCATATACTCTCCCAGATACGAGCCTACAAAACTACTCCAAGCACCCAAGTATTGGGTCCTTTGGACCCTCAAAACTCAAAACCCCATGTTATCCTACAAACCCTTCTAGACTCCAGAGCTAGTGATCAGTTCTTCATCCATTGGGCCCCCATCGCGATTTTTTACCCTAAGCGCTAAACAATATCGAATTTGAGCCAACATACATGTGTGTGTGTATATATATATATATGTATATACATATCCAGTAAATACAAAATGTATATATACATATGTGTACATATATAGATAAAAGTATAGATCACTATTTCTTTTTTGGAATCGATTTTTGGTGAAATAACAGGAAGGCAGCTCCCAGCCTGCAGCAGAAGCCCCTCCTCGGCAGCAGATGCTGCGGCGGGACTCTGGGAGGACCTGAAAGGGGCGCATTCTAGAAAGGGTGCTTTCGAAGGAAGAGAGTTTAGCGTTCAGGGTTTGGGTTTACAACGTTAAATAAATATGAATACATGTATGTATATATATATATATATACTACGCGGTATAGAAAGGGGGCTTTCGAAGGAAGAGGGTAATATCGAAAGGGGCTTTCGAAGGAAGAGGGTAGTATAGAAAGGGGGCTTTCGAAGAAAGACGGTTTAGGGTTTAGGGCTTTGGGTTTACAAGGTTACATTTACTATGCGTTATGCAAACGGGGCTTTCGAAGGATCAGGGTAGTGTAGAAAGAGGGCTGTCGTAGATTCGTAGGTACAGGGTTAGTTTAAGGGTTTAGGATTTGAGGTTCTTGGGTTAATTATACCATACGTGATTACAAAGGGATATACGCATGGGTTTCGAGGCTTTTGCAAGGGCTTCGAAAAGATGTTGGAATACGCAAGACTCTGTACGGCGTTATGTATGGAGAGCTACATAGATTTAGCATGATGTCGCGCTCCTGGGCTTGTAGAGTGATAGTCGAGGCCAGAAGCACACTTAGCATGGTGACAGACTTCTGATTGTCTACATAAGACAATGTCTCGGCTCCCAGGTGTGCTCGACAAGGCAATGACGCTACCCAAAGCCCTGAACCCTAAAGCCAGAATCACTAAACCCTAAACCCTCAGCCCTATGGCCCTAAACACCCAACCATAAAAGAGCATTGCCGAAGTGCCAGTGTACCTCTATGGGGGGGGGCTGAAGCTAAAACTCTTAAAGTCCCAATATAGGGGCCTTGATGATTAGAATAGGGTTTGGGAGCCATTGTACTATAAGTATAATAATAGGAACCCCACTTGGTAGGTAGGGTGACGCGTTGCCCTACTTTCTGGTTATATCTAGCTACCAGCTAAAATAGTTGCCTGATAACCCTCTAACTAGTGCAGCAAGTCGCCAGATCTTCCAAGTAGAACTCCCTAAAGAAGCAAAACTGGCCTGCACCTCCCGGCACCCTAATCCCTTCGACCCTAAAGGAAGGGTTCCTCGGTCTAAGTCCTCGAGCCTAAACCGTTCCTCAGTCCGAGCCGCTCTTCCTTCGTTGCAGCGTCGTCGCTGGAGTCCAAGCCATCAAAATCGAACATGCTTCGAATGTAGGATGTCCACAGAGGCGTTTCTAAGAAATATTCCGAATAGGAAAAATGGAGATTCAAGAGGGTCTTTTGACTTCGCAAAATTAGGATACTGTAGGTCTGTTAGAGGGCTTTCTAGCTTCCAGTCTTGTTTGGCAGGGGGTTGCAGGCTTGGGTCGTGGAGATGAGGTTGGTTGACGCTGTTTAAGGTTTTCGACATTTTCTTATGCTTTCACAATGTTTAGGACATTTTTCTGAGCACTTCTGCATTGGAGCGATTTTGGCTATGATTTTTGCATAGGAGAGAGCCTCGGCGTGAAGATGTGGGGTTCGAGCAAGGAGCGTGACTTTCAGGCCCAAATCCTCTAAGCCCCGTCCCTTAAGGCTAAACCCAAGCTACAGCCGAGTTAGGGATCCAGGCTTTTGCTCCTGCTAGCAAGGCCTTCTGCGAGGGTTTAGGGTTTGGGGTGTGGTGTAGGGTTAGAGCAGCTACTGTTGTCGTCTCATGCTGCAAGCCAAGCTGCGGGCAATGAGCTCAAAACACCCCAAACCCCATATTCCTACATGCTAAACTCTTGAATCCCAAACCATAAACTGTGTACCCAGGCCCGAAACCATTAATATGGGGCCTCAATAATTAGAATAGTTTTGGGGCTCATTATACTGTAATCATACCAAGGAACCCCCAACATTTTAGGGCCCTGTGTTACAGTAACCTACTTGTCGGGTATCATTGGGAACTATAGGCTAACCTTTTTGGTTATATGGGGACTATACTACCCAAAAAAGGCTAAAGGTTACCTACTCTGCTACTCGGGTGGCAAGTTCGGAACAGTAGACACCATCAGCTTCAACCCCAGAGCCTGCGTCCTCAGAGCACTAAGGCAGGAGCTATAGGCTTGAATCAGTGGAAGCTAAGAGTACAGGGTCAGGCTGTATGGCTGCCGGTTTAAAGGTTTTGATGATGTTTTTCTCACTTTCTTTTCAAGGTTTAGGGGCGTAGGACTTAAGATATACAGTTTAGGGTTTTGGCTTAGGTTTTTGTGCATTAGGGTTGAAGTAGTGAGGTATATAACTTTGGATGTGGTCACGGCCCTGGCTACATGGGTAGTTCTCTCTGGATTAAAGTGCCTTTTAGGGTCCTTCTTCATCGGGGTGCCGTACTATTCCGGGGACCTGAAGAGCGACCCGCCTGATTTGTACCGTGGGCTGCAACACGATGAAATAGCCTACTGCTTTACGATTCAGGTATGCTCCTTAAACAAACAAGGTAACCCAGCCCGAATCCTAAACCCCAAAGCCCTAAATACTAAAACCCTAAATTCTGTAGCACAACTTGCGGCATCCCAGCCCCACGCACAATGTAACCGTCCTGCTTAGGGTTTCAAGGCTCAGGCTATATGGCTTAAGGGCTGAAGGCTGGGAAATTTAGGGATTTGCGCCCCAGCCTGGTTTAATGGCCCCGTTGTTCTGGATTCAGGGTTTAGGGATTTGGGAAAATAGGGTTAGGCATAGGGTTTAGAAAGATTTTGGAAGGCTTCATAGGGCTTTCTCAGGGTCTTACAGGAAATTGTTGGAGTGATTTTCGAGGTTAGCGTTGACATAGGTTTAATTTAACCGCTCCGGCCTTAAGGGCATGTGTTTACGGTTTGTCCTGATGTTGTTGTTCAGAGGGTCCCAGCCTTAAACTCTAAACCCCTAAACAAAACCATGACCTCCCAAACCCTTCAAGCCCCTAAGGAAGGAATATTATGACTACTCGCTTGGGTCTCTATATTACCCAAATTCATATTCACCCCAAAAGCCGACCCTCCCCTGACGGGCCTGCTCCGGGTAAGGCACCACCGTAAGGCCTGGATCTTCAGGGCAGAGGCTTTTGGGGAGGGTTGTATTCATGATGGAAGTTCAGGATGAATGCTTCGTCCTGCAAATCAGCAGGCTGCAATTGGCGCCACTGTCTTTTGCCTCGCCTCCCCCTGCATTCCGTATCCTCATGTACGTTGATATCCGTATATACAGGGCATGTTCTGTTTCCAACTGAGTTTGCATAATATCATTGAATCTTCTTCATCGTGTTGTACTGGTACTAGCTCGTGGCTGGGTCGACAGAATGGAGAAACTGTTCCTTTCATATCTTTCATCCACTCAGCACGGCAACGTCGAAAGCCTCAATAGTGCTGCGACAGGTAGGACAGGTGTTGGTACGTCGCTGCACCTCCTGGATACAAGCTTCGCAAAACCCCCAGTGTCCACAAGGCTGCAAGAGCACATTGGGACGCCTGTCAAGGCAAATTCCACATTCCTCTGGCTCAGCAGCATCCTGCTTTGTGCAGTTCTGGCCATCGAAAGTCAGAACGTCGCCGCGGCAGACAATGTGGCTGATGCTGCGGAGAGGCTGCCCGGGCTGGCACTCTATTGTGAGGACAAACTGGTCTTTGCCATCTTCCGTCGAAGTGGGAGGGTTCAACTCTTCCGCCATCTGACTGTCAACAGTGCGTGACATGAGGCCAACACCGGTCCAAGAGCGAAAAGCATAGAAGGAATCCCAAGCCCAGGCCATGCCTCCATTTGGGTCATGGCTTAGAGAAGCAGTGATTGGCTGGTTGGACGTGTTGTAGATGGCTATGGGCAACATGTTGGCGTTTGCTGATGCATCTGCTATGGTCCACTCTCTGAAACCATAGGCTGCCAGACCCAATATGCTCGCACCACCCACGACAGTCCCAGCACTAATGGCAATTACAACACCGACGGGCAGGTTCACCATCACTGTGCTCGTGGTGGCTACGGTTCCCCAAGGAATGAAGCCTAGAGCATAGTATGTCGAAGTCGTGGTAACGGCTGTGGCTACAGGTGTCACAGTTGCCGCCACAATCGTGGCCGGAATCCCTGCACCAAGGGCACCAACTGTCATGCTTCCAGCCAAAGTTGTCAGACCATTATTCACTTGGTCGCTGCGCGCAGGAATCTCAGGATCCCAGCATGCGTTCACGAAGTGCTCGCAGTTGTTCGTCAATGGATGGTATTCCCACCTCCCCTGGTTGGGCCCATCTACCATCAAACGAGCGCGCCCAAGTATCTGGTACGCCTCTTCGGTAGTCGAAGGCAGCCTGACAACACGAGGCCGCGTAGAGTATCCTGATTCAAAGGCCCGTCTCAAAGTCCGAACCACGTGGGACTCACCCTCGTCATTGACAGTGACATGTATGTATTCGTCCCTGTCTCGGTCGAAAATGGCATGGTGTTCATACCCGATGCAGGATCGCGTGTTGCAAGCGCTGCTGCTGACACTGAAACTCGAGTTGTGGCTGGAAGCGCCGTAGGACACAACAGCAACATGCAAGCAAGGCACGATTCCCGCTGCTTCCCTTCTCCTGTTGTACTCAAGCCGTCGGTAAAATCTGTCTGCCATGAGCGCAGCAAGATTTTCGGACCAAGCGCTTTAGTGCGCGAATGTGGGACACTCATGTGGTATTGCCTGTGCAAGTTGCAATGTCATGACGTGTATAGGTTAGAAGGGGCCCCCACCCTGTAATAGTGACTATAAGGATTACATAGGATTATATTAGGGCCCTATTATATTCCTATTCTACCACTATTACAGGGTGGGGGCAGCTTCTAGTGTATAGGCATATAGCTGGGCCTGCATACTCTGCCTGTGACTTTGACATGAAGGATGCCTTTCCCAGAGCGGCATCAACCATCTTGATCGGCAAGTTCAAGTAGTATGTAGGACATTCTGGGCACTGCAAACAGGATGCCAAAGCCTAAATATCCTAAAAGCCCTGAACCACATCACACAACTCATAAAGCCCATAGCCATAGTGATCCCCCTAACACCACTTAACCCAACATCAGCAGTTGATGCTTGGCTGTGGGAGTTGGGAGAGGCTGTTCTTCAGGCTTCGCGGCCTCAGGTGACAAAGACTTAGAAGTCCACCCCTAAACCCTAGGCCCTAAACCCTAAACCCAGCAGAAGGCGAACACCATGAAAAGACTCGCCTGCCAGAAACCTAATACAGGGGCCAAGGGGCCTTAAATTTTTGGAATAGCGTTTTGGGGCCCAATATACTGAAGGTATTTTTAATTATTAAGGCCGTATACTCAACCCAAGCCCAGAACCCTAGACCTTGAAAGATGCCGACACAGGCCTACCTAGGCATACAGATCCGTGTCCTGCACCCCCCGCCGACCCGGGTTCTCTGCCGTGCTTACAGAGTCGTATTTCACTGCGTACTTCGACTTAAATCAAGTCAAGCATGTACACCATGAGCGCTAGACCCTGAACCCTGGTGGACACCGTACACCTCATATGTCACCATGTTGCCGGCACCTCCAGGGCACTGGTTTGCCCTTGCTCTGCCCTACCGGTCCCACCCTAAATACCCTTACACCCGAAATGCCTATTATATAAGGGCCTTAATCAGTTGCACAGGGCTTTGGGGCCAGGATAGTATTTGTAATCAAATATATAGGCCCCTACCTAGAGGGTCATACCCTACCCCTTTTTTAGGATACCTAGTTTTATGGTTAGGTTCTCTTATATAGAAAAGTAGGTACCTTAAAAAAGGGGGTAGGGTATGACCCTATAGGTATAGTACTAGCACAGACTATGAGGCCTCTGTTAAGCTTCGGGATGTCCTGGCAAGACCCCTACAAGAGCCTACTACGCCCCTTGCGTATCCTAAAGCCCCTACTTGGAGGGTCTTTAGGGGACTTAGTAACTGGTTATTTTGGGGACTTATAAGTACCATAACCCCAATTAGGGTCCCTTTTAGGGTACCTATAAGCCTACTTACTACCTACTTACTAAGTCCCCCGACCCTCCAAGTATGAATGTCGACATCGAGGCTGTGCCCTCATGGATAATATGCTGCCGAAATCCCTTGATCGAGGTCCCTTCAATACGATACCTTGACCGATCTGTCCATTTTTGTGTAACAATTCGATTAGGGGACAACTGCGAAGGACAGCCGTGAACCGCGAAACTCAAAACCTGGTATCTCTCATGTCTTGACACCTAAACCCTAAACCTTAAGCCTTAATTGTTTCTTTTTGAACACTTGAAGTCCCCCCTAAGCCCTGACCCCCAGAACTCTCGAAGATCCCTCATAGAGTCCTGCAGAACCCAAATAGGAACCCTCATACCCTCATAAATGCACTTGAAAAGACAAGCCTGGCTTATCTAAAAGGGAAAACACTGTTGAATATCCGTTAAAACTTAATCCTTAAAGCCTTAAAGCGCTGAAATGTCACTAGTCGTATTCCCTCATATTCCCTATACAACGATAGTACAACATACGCCAGACTCGTACAAATGCCAAGAAACGCCCCTTTTGACGCCTAGATTGAAACCCTGGAAAGAACACTATTCTAACTATTACGGCCCCTGGATTTGGCCTTTTTACCGCCCTGCAAACCCTTGTTAAAAAATTGAAAACCCGGAAGAAAACACTGCAGACCCATATAACAACACTATTCGAGCAAAATCCCATACTAACCCCCAAGGAAGCTATGGAAACGACCTGTTCGGGCCCATGTCTTACCGTTGGTTAGTAGGGAATGGAAGAATGGTAGTAACAGTAGTTATAATTGTACCCCATTCCTTAATTTCTTAGAAGCTGCCCCCACTCTGTAATAGTGACCATAAGGATACTATAAGAATTGTATTAGGGCCCTATTATATTCCTATTATACTACTATTACAGGGTGGGGGCAGCTTCTATCCCATTCCTCCATTCCCTACTGACCAACGGTAAGATGTAGATGAGACCCTCTGGACCCAAGAGCAACCTAGGAATAAAAAGGGTGCCCTTTTTGGTTTAAAGGGCGTTTAGGGTTTAGGGTTTAGGGTTTAGGGTTTAGGATTTAGGGTTTATGGTTTAAAGGGCTATAATAAGGGACTTGAACCCTTAAAAAGGGACTAAGGGCCTACTCTAGGTCTTAGCCCTGAAGAGCGAGAGAAGCCAGGGGCGCCACGGCTCTTGCCCAGCGTAGGAGCCAGGCCTGTGAGAGCACTCGGTACCCAGACCCCCGGCGGGATGATCCAAAAAGTAAATCCCTAAAAAGGGGGTTCCTATGAAGTAGCCTTAGTAGTATAGGGCTGGTGTAGGTTTAGGGGTTGAGGGTTTAGGGTTTAGGGTCTTTGAATGAAAGTGTGTTGAAGGTATCCTTCAAAATTATGGATGTTTATAGTGTTTGGGCTGTTAGGGTTTCTGAGGGGGTCTACATTACAGCTCTTATGCACTGCTTTTGCATGCTTTCCTGTGTTGTTTGTCGGCGTTGATAGGCTTCTCAGGTCCTGGACGCAGGGATTTAACTGTGGTTCCGGGGCTTGGGTTTAGAAGTTCAGGGTTTGGAGTTTGGGGCTTTCTCGGTTTGAGGCTGAGGTTTAAGGGGCGGGCGGGGGGGTGGTGGTGCGAAGGGGGTTTATGAGTTTTGGGGTGTAGGGCTTGGAGGTCCCGTGCCGAAGAAGTGCCCAGGGCGGTTGTAAGTATGTTTTCTCTAGACCCTAGACCTTTAGGATTGTTCAAGGGCCAAAGTATACGCAGGGGTTTGAGGTTTAGGGAGGTGGTTGCTGGGATCTCTGTCGGTAGCGTTCTGCAATGATAGGATCTAGGACTTTGGCCGCCTCTCTAGAAGGATAGCTCCACCCAGGCCTAGATACTTGCAAGTCTGCTTATAACCTATATGGCAAGTTTCCTGATCCCTTAAACATTACATGCGAAACCCTCTAAGCAAACGCCCCTAAAGCCCTGACACCTAACCCCTGAACCTACGAGTACTTACTCTGTCCTCTGATCCCGCACATAGGTCCCGAAACCCAAAGCCCAACCTTTCAACCCTGGACCGACTTCTTGCTACTAAGTTCCCTGATTCTGCAAGCGCCCAAAACCCCGAATGTTGAATTGGACCCGCCTGCCTTACATCCTTTGCACTTCAGCCGTCACTCCCAACCCTGCAGAACTCCGCCTAACCGCTGATTCAAAGCCAGCTGCGGGCTTCCTGACCCTAAACCCTTTACCACTACACCCTAAACCCTAAACCTCTAAACCCTTAAAACCCTATATAAACCCTAAACCCTAAGCCCTAGGGTTCTCTTTCAGGATCGCGGCCCTGGGGTCATCTTCGCCATCAGCGAGAGTGGGTTGAGCTCTTTATCCTGGGAATTCGGGAAATCGGACTCGAAATCTGCATTTAGGTTTCCCTTTCTTTTGTGAGTCGCCTTCCGGCAAGACACTCAACATATTCAGTGCGTTAGCTAGGGTTTAGGTATGTTTAGGTCTCAGTTCTACAATAAAGAACCCGAAGAAACACTCCAGGTTTCTTAATCAGGTTTCTATATGATACTTGGACCAACCTCCCGGAGATAAATTCCGCTTGCAACGGCTTTACTCCGTAATTAAGGGTTTAGAGGCGGAAGGGTGCTGAAGTCTGCGGAGACTGCAGGGTTCAGGATAGATGAATGTTGCAGGATCTTGGGGATTTACGGTTAAGGTGCTGTGCCATGGAAGGTTTAGGGTCTGGCATGAGCGTTCCTGCGCCTGAGATTCAGGACGTATATTTAAGGTTTCGGGGCTTGGAGTTTAGCGCGAAATCTTTCGATTTAGGGGTCTGCGTGAGTAGTTAATATTCTCACGGGCACCGGTTTGCGTGTACATATGGCTCTAAAGTAGGGCCCCTTTTGGGTCCCCAAACGAGTACGGACCCTAAGCTAGAGAACTACCCATAGAGACGGCTGAGTTTGTGTCGGGTTCGCCTGAGGTCGGACACAACCTTCTAGCAGGACCGTCATTGCAAGGACCCCGCTCAGAAGGAAGCCCCTGGTTTTCTGAGGTCCTCATGCCGATGTTTTACCCCATGACTCCATGAAGTAGAACATAGAGTTCCCAAACCCAGGGTTCGAAGATAGAGTTCCCGGACTGGGGGTTGGAACGCAGGGTCCGAGCATAGAGGTTGCAGGATACTTCCTAAACTCTCCACCGTAAACCCTAAACCCAAAGACTCGACTACTAGGCCAAGACTCCCCATGGACAGTGAGGGCTCTACAGCGCGAGGCCTTTACAAAGCAGTCCATAGAGCCTCAAAAAAGCACATGAGCAAAAACAAGGATAGTGATATCCCATATAAACGCCCTCATAATGAAGCCCAATAAGGTAGGGATCTATCCCTATAAAATGCTTCTGCTTATGTGCCTTTTGGGTCCCTAAGTCCAAGCGCCTAGACACTCTGAACCGTAAGTGCCCTGAGGGGTCTGGGGGTGCGATGTCCTGGAGGCTCATGAAGGGAGCGACTGCCTCCCCCACCTCCTTCCGAAGCATTTCGATTCATCCGCTTCTGGGCTTTACGGCTCGGAGTTTTGAGATTTGGGGTTGAGACTTTCAAGACTTCTTGGTAAATGCTTCGGGTTGCTTAAGGTCTTCCGGCCGTGGGTGATTGTGGGGGGCTTCGGGGCTCTCCGAACAAAAACCCTACCTGAAACCTGAACGACCCATCTTTGCAGGGTTCCGTATAAAGATGTGAACTCCGCAGTCCTCAAAACGGTGGGCTCGGGTTACGGTAGAACCGTAGACCTAAGGAGGATCAGTTTTTTCAATGATATTCACAACGCAAGTTCTTGACCTCGGCTTCAGGTGCAACGAAAGGGCTTAGGACTTTCGGGATGTTCAGGGTTAAGGGTGGGTGGCTGGGAAACTATTTTCGGTGACGCCGTCCACGATGCAATGCCAGTAGTCTCACATGCTTTGCATCCTCTTGTGCACCCCTTTGCTCAGAAAAGCCTCCGGTGCCTATAGGCCTGCCATGGCTGCCACTACTACTGCTGCTGCTCGTCTGACGACTACTTCTAGTACTGCTACCGCTGTGCAATCGGAGCTGACATCTGAATGTTACTGATAATTCACCCCGCCCCCCCTGTGATAGATTCTGAAGGCCCTATAGAACCAAATCCTCAGAATAAGGACCCCTGAAGAAAAACGAACCCTCGGTTTCTGAACCCAACAGATCGATTTTCGTGCCTTTCCCAGCTTTGGCTCATAACTCCTCAGCACCCGAGCACGCTCGTTTCTCTGGTGATGCTGTTTGGGTGGAATATCGCATCTCAAGAGTTCTTAGGGGTTGAGAGTTGTTGGGGCTCTCGGGTTCTAGTATGCTTTGGCATTGGGGTTTAGGGCTCAAGGGTTCTTAGGGGTTGAGAGTTGTTGAGGCGCTAATTAGGGTGTGTGTTTGGGAATCTGTCGGGCTTTGCAGGCTTGGGTATCAGCTTTCCCTTCACTGGGAACATCTGTCAGCTTAAGATGACTGTATGGGACTTTCCGAAAACAGGGGACCCTAATTTCGTACCCTAAATAGTAGGATCCTGATTGTAAGGACCCCAAAATAAGGTACCCCTAATTGTCGGAAACTCCCACATATGGGAGTTCCGTATTTCCTCACTACGCATATTGCAGGATGTTGCGCATCGAAGAAAAGCTTGCTGTAGTATAGGGGCCTTCTAAATTAGAATAGGGCTTTGGAGCCCATTACACCATAGTTGCAATAAGGAGCCCCAAATAGTATTGGTAATTATTTATCCCCCTATTGTAGGGTCATGGGGATTCAGTGAGACCTGAAGGGCACTGGTGCAATTTCATGCTTTCCATAGCACGGTGGGTGCAACCACTAAAACGCTTTTACTTGTGAGGATTCGCCGTGTTTTTTCGTCGGTCTGTTCCGAAACAGAAAGTACGTGCACGCGCGGGGTGAAGTTGCAAAACCACTGTCAATGATCGGATCCTGCCCTTACCCAAAGGGTCCAAAGTACTGTTATGGGGGATACTTCCCCAAATCATACAAGTAATTCCTAATATCGAAACCCGACATTCTACTATAAAGGTACTGTGGGCCCTTTGGGTTAGCAACCTCGCATAACGAGAGATACCCGAGGTCCCAAGAAACATGCTTTCTACCAACACACGAAACCCCGTACAGCCCCCCTAAGAGAAGCCTGATTCTAACATACAGGTCTTATTAATTAGAGTAGAGTTTTGGGACTTCGTTCCAGTATCGAAACTAGATGGAGGGATCAGGAATACTATTTATCGCTAATCATTGCGAGCCCTGCCCCTCAACCCTAAACCCCCGTATTTAATCTCCACCGAGCTACCCCGGAGCGACGATGTCGCTGGTGCTCGTGCTCAGCTTCAGGTACTCATCCGTCCTTGCTTGGCGTTTTGGGGTTGAGGGGTTTGGGGTTAGGTTAGGGATTTGTGCAATCGGTCATGCGGACTGTCACGAAGCGAAACACTGGGTTTTAGGGTTAGGGTTGAGCATTGGTTTGGGGCTTCGTGTTGAGGGGTTCAGGGCCATGCAGCGTCGACATTGGGGTCTCGGGTTTCTGGAAACTCGCATTCCAATGCGCGCCGAATCTTCAAGTTCGAGGAGGTGGTGGGGTGGTTCGATTTTTATAGGAACTAGCGGCCGTTCTGAAAATACTCACGAAAAGGATCCTTCCGTCCTTAGTTTCTGAACTGACTGAAAGATTGTGGGCTCTGGGTTTACAGCACACTTAGACGATCATGGGGCTTAGTAGCTACGGTTAGACAAGAGATAGCTTTGTGCATCATGCATTACTGAAACATCCTAGTTAAGGTTTTTCTTGATAAATCCAGAAATTGATCCCTCCAAATACTTTTTCAGAAGTTTTGGGCGACTTCAGGCTATAGGTCAAGAAGTCTAGGGTTCAGGGTACAGGCTTCAGGAGTATAGGGGCCCTTGCTACTTCATGAATAAAAGCCCAGAATTTAACACGTCACAGCAGCCTTCAGTGGAACCCCAAGAAGTATGATGGCCCCTATGTTACCCTCAGTTTCCAGACACCTCCTACTTTCGGCATCTCCTTCTAGTGAACTCCAGAAAGTTAGACCATGGACTAAGGAAAAACAATGCTAGCATTCCGAACCCTAAACCCTAAACCCCCGATGCACAACCTCAAGCCCAGAGACTCCAATATCCCTTATTTAAAGTAATATACCATATTAGGGATCCTACCATAATTTACGGTACATCCCTCAATAAAGGGATGTTGTATCATGGGGTTCCAACTTTGCGGCTTCTACTGTAGGGCCCCAGAGATGACGAAGAGGGTTGGCTGTCCTCCTCTCGGCGCGGGATGCATTGATGGCCATGGCCTGACTTCGGGGGGGGGGGAGCTCTGCTAGTTATGCTTGGGGCTCTATATGGGTGGTTGTCAAAACTATGGTCCCTTTTTGGGTACCCGAAAAAGGAAATATTAGGTGCCATATTTTAATAAGGACCCAACAAAGGACCCTGATTTTGACAACCACCCATATCAACCAATAAGGGAATTCAGAAATAACCAAAATCGATACCTGGTATACCTAAACCCACCAACTACCCTTGATCGTAGTCCCTAACTGCCCCCCTGATGAGAAATATTCGAGCCCTTTAAAGGGTACTTGCAGGGTGCTGGTAGGGTTTACAGTTAGGCCTGACTTCGGGACGGAGCTATCGGGTTTACAGCGCTGCTGTGGGGTTGCTATGGGCTTTTAATTTGGGCTTCCTGCTCCGGTTTAGGATTTACCTAAATCATAATAAAAAAGACAACATTAGTAATCATTGTCTATTCATAGTAAAGAGTACAGAAATAATAACAATAGTAACCATAATAATACTACCTATAGTCTCCATTGACTCCTTTGTAGTTCCTTTTTGTGGTTAACCAAAGCCTCTAATTTAAGGATCCTAACCTTAAAGTTGGTTAACCCAAAAATCGGTGACTTTGGGCAGATTCAGGATTATGGTTTCGGGGTGCATCGTAATGTAACCAAGAAATGAATCAGAAAAGTTAGTCTTAGTCCAAGAAAAATAGCAGGATGTCCTTCGCGTGATGGGACCTTTTCAAGGTAACTCAAGCACTCTGCCTAATTTTTAACAGGGACGTCCCCTGCATTGGTGCTAGCACCAAACAGATGAACTCTGCGTCCTGTTCGACAGGATGCCCCAGGCACCTAAAGCAAGCTTTCCGAGACATCCTATACTCTCAACCCTTAATCCCAAATCCTGAACCCTGAATCCTGACTCTAAAAACCCCACAAGCCACAGACTTTCTGAGCCCTGTCGACAAGGTTTGGGAAAAACTTGCTGGCAGAGCTACAAGTCTCCAAACTCTACTACCCAGACCCCAGGAGGATCTAGAAAGTAGATCCCCTAATTTGGGGTCTTGTACTACTATAAGGGTACTTTATAGGAACCCCCATTAAGGGATCCACTTGTTAGATTCTTGCGGGGGTCTGGGTAGCAAGCCAGCAGGATTCGCAAGGTCTTGCGAACCTGCGGCGCAAACTACGCAGTTAACATAAGATGACCGCAAACCTTACCCCTGAACCCTAAACCCTGAGCCCGATTTCTGAAGCCGGAACTTTACAAAGAAAAGCTCTGGATCCGCAACCCAAACACCAAACCCCAATATAGACCAACTAATAGGGTTTAGGGTTTAAAGTTGAATTAGGGGTTTTAGGGAGGCTTAGGGATTGAATCCCAACGCGCCGACCCAAAGCGCCCTAAGTACCTATGATATAGCAGAATGTAGGGTTTCCATCTTACGTGTAGCAACTGCTACTCTGATTTGGCGAAGTATCCCCCATACTAGTAGCTAGGACCCTTTGGGTGATAGATCCCCGTGTTGAACCCTTTACAGAACCCCTCAAAACTCTCAGTATGCAGCCTGAGAAGGAGTGAGCTCAGCGATGCAGCGCCGGTTTTCTAGGCAGCGGAGTTGGGTTGGAATTACGCATTTATAATAAGGTACCCGTAATAACGGGAAACTCACTACCATATTCCCCATGACAGAGCCCTTATAGATCCCTAATAGGGCCTGGGGTCTGGGGTCAAGGATTCGGGTCTTAAGGAACCCAGGTTTGGGGTATCAAGGGGTCCTTGCAACCGTCATCCTACTTGACTTGGTAGGGTCTTGCCAGGATCCTCTATTTGTCTAAAACTCCCATTTCTTATTATCCGTAACCTGGCTGCAGCGTGGCTCATGCTCATATGACGTCGGGAATGGTAGGGCAGAGTACAACTAACCGATTCAAACGGACACGACCCGGTATGAATATTGACGCTACTGAAGAACAAGCAGGTCTTGGGCTGCTGGGTGTAAGGGGTTCAATCTTTTCCCTGTAACACGGTCTGGTGTCTATCCAAGTGACGTATTCGATTTCTGAAACCCCACAGAAACCCAAGGGCTCTCCCCTAGGAGATTCAGGATCCTCGTCAACAGGAGATATCTGACCCTTCAAGTATGGTTTGGTGTTTGGGGTCTTACCCTATATGTAGACGCAGGGTCAATTAGTAATGATATCCCTTCATAGATCCTCATAGCCCCCATATACCTATACTATGGCAGACCCAAAACCTTATTACAAGCATCAAGGCCGCTGTCACGAGATGAAAGTGCGCAGCCTTGAGTCTTTGGAGTTTAGGGCGGCTGACGCTTTGGGGTGTTCTGGTTTTATCTTTGGGGGTGTCAAATACAAGGTGGCCCGATGTTGACACTAAACAGATAAGGACCCCTTTAACCCCAGCCACGCCCCGGAACCATCTCGCATGCTGAGTCCCGAGCCGACACGCTTCGGCTGGCCAGGACGGATGGAGAGCAACGGCTGTGCTGAGGAGCTGCCTGAGACAGCCCTCGGGAAAGTAATTTTGAGGTTTTGGGGTCAAATGAGGGTACGGTTTAGGTGTACGGTGTACTTAAACTCATACCTCCGGCTGTCTGAAGCTGCTGATCCTACCAGTTCCACACGTCTTTTGGACTCGGCTCCTAACAGTCCGCTCAACAGTCTTCTCATTATCCTTGTGTCATTTTTGCCGATGTAACCTGATGTTTGAAGATTTGTGTCTTGGTATATCTGTCCTGCTGCAACCATAAACCTTGTTCGTGCTTCTGGTCCCATCCATGGCTTATCCGATATCGATATCCCCTCCGGAGCCACAACACATGGAGCAAATCTTGCTTCTGCAGGCAACCTAACTCCGAGATGACTCCCATAAACCCTGCCCGGCCCTAGCCCCTCTCTAGAAGACGACATTCCTGTATACGGTTGATGATGTTTAAATCCTGCATGACCTTCATGACCCTAAACCATGGGAATTATGGTATATTCTTTATTCTGGGTAATGCAGGACTTATATCATCAGCAGTGGGTTCAGTTGTCCAGCAACCACTTCAGAATAAAGATAACTACGCTGTTGGTCTGGTATTCAAACTCAATGGAGAAATCCTATGTATTCCTCAATTAAGGTATATATTGGAGTCTCTGGGTAATAGATCAACCCGCGAGATCCCCTGTCGAAGCCCTAAACCCAAAACCCTGAACCCAAAACCCTACCAGGACCCCCCCCCCCGCCTTTAATAAAGCCCTTCTGGTCCTTAATAGTGGGTATGTAGGGTACATTAAAGGGTAGTTGGGGGGTCCAGGTAGACCCAAAACGCTGAACCCAAAACCCTAAACCCCCTCAGACGACTCGGCTTCGACGACTTTCACCATGCACCCCCTGGTCTTGAATCTAAGGGCCGTGGCTTAGGGTTTGGGTTTTAGGTTTTTGCTTTAAGTGCATCGAACTTTTCGACGCATCCCGAGCAGCCCACTCACATGAGTTGAAGGGTTTAGGCTTTTGGGGCTGGGGGTTTAGGTTTCGGGGTTGGATCAAGGCACCCCTGTATCACATCCCAGGCTTGATGCGGTTCAATGCAAGCATGAATCCTTCCTCAACAACTTCTGAGACTAGTTGACTAGTTCAGAAATCCAAGCTTCGTCTTCGGGTTTGGTCTAGATCCTGCCAGCCAACACAGACTTTACGAAGTTCATTGCGCCCAGGACCCTAAACACAGTAATCCTCAATCTTGGATCGAAGGACACTGGATCTTTTTCGACGACCTGTTCCACAAGCAGCTTGGGGTTTGAGCCAACAGCTTCTCTTGGAGAGCTTGCTGGCGGTCCGGCTGGTAAATGGTCTCCCGACGTCAAAGATCGGTCTTGAGGAGCTGTTGTCCAGAACAAGACAACTCTGGTTCCCTTCATTAAAGAATACATGTTGCCTACAGTTCTCATTGTAGGTCCTACAGTTTTCATTGTAGATCCTTTTTGCGGGTAACCGAAAATATATCATATGATTCTATCCATGAAGTTGCAACTGTAATTGACGATCCGAGTACGACCTGCTTCAACAGCACAAACGGTTTTCGAGCTGTCTGTGTCAACAACAAGCTTACCCTAAAAGCTAAAACCACAAACATCAACAAAACAGAACTGGCAAAGCTCACAGTATCGCAACACTCCCCATGAAGCAATCAAGGAAGGCAGCTTGATCGCATAGTGGAACCACGATAGACTTCAGGTGTAACTCTGTATTTTCACTTCGTTAGCCAAGAGCCTCCGGTATGCCTGGGAAACCCCGCCTGCGACACCTACTGTAGGTGCCTTAATAATTAGAATAAGGCTTTGCGGTATATGTATTATACTATAGTTATACTAAGGAACCCCCGAAATAGTATAGGTAATCATTTAGGCCCCTATACCATAGCATTCTTATAGTAGCCCTTATAGAGAACCCTGTTTAAGGATCCTTTTAAAGGGGCCCCTATATTAACCACACACCGTGCTTTTTGGGGGCGGTCAAAGGAGCCCTTTAAAAGCCATCAGGTACTCGGTTTTAGGGTTTAGGGTGTAGGATTTAGGATAGTAGTTATGTAGGTTAGGATTTCGGAGAGTATATGATTACTAGGTACTTGGAAATTTTTGGGTAAATCGACTGGGATCCTGTTAGCTCCTCAGCAAGTGGCAGCCCTGACTACTGTTCCGGCCACTTCGTGGCCGCAGAAGCACGCACTGCAATTTACGAGACTGCACCCGCACACTCAGGATTTAGGTCTTTGAAGATTTTTCGGGAACAGAATACCTAAATTCTGCAAATTTGGGGATCTTGGGTTTCAACTCGTGGGCTGTTATCGACCTTATTCGGAGCTGGCGAACAAGTAAGGCTCGAGTCTTGATGGGGCTTGACGATCTGCACAGTACAGCACACCGCGACGCTTAGGTTGCGTAGTCGATCTTGTGCGAATACGCCGGGCCGCTGCGCAGTCGATCCCATTCCTCAGGCATGGCTGTAGTAAGGGGGATTGACCCGAGCTGGAACCGATAGTATCGACAGCCCTCAAGGCTGACAAGCCACAAACACAGCCCAAGCTGTTCCGAAAGTCTCTCCGGCGTTCCTCTCGCATTCAGGTCTTCGAAACCTCAATTTTGCGATGCTTGAGCTACATTCGGCTTGTGCATTCTCACCCTCGTTCGCTTTCGTTCTAGCTCGCCGAGTCTCTGTAAGGATACTTGCCCTCGCTCCCTACGTCGCTCTCTGTCGCTTCGTGTCTCTGGCTTCCTCTGTCTGAGACGCTGTTCAGTCTTCATGTCCAATGCGCAGCTGTCACACACACACAAACACACTGGTAAACACACACACACACACACACACCACCATGCCCATGAATCCCTATGCTCGACAGACTTTAATCAAAGCCCAAATACCTGACCTCCAAACTTCTGAAGGAACCAGACGGACTCGCTGGCACCCTCGACTTTCCTCTGAGCCCTAGATCACAGCTCCAAACCGTAAACCCAAAAAAAAACACACCCTCAACCCTATAAACCCTGTTTACAAGCCCAAAACCCGGCTATAAAGCCACTGCCATACTATAGCCCAAGATCCTATTCCAATTCTTCAGGCACTTATGTTACACAAACCCAAAACCCGCCCAGCCCCTAAACCCTAAACCCTAAACCCCTAAACCCCTAAAGCATAAACCCTAAACCTTAAACCCTAAACCCCTGAACTCTTAAACCCTAAACCCCTAAACCCTAAACCCCTAAAGCCCTATACCCCTAAAAGCCCTAATCCCTGAACCCTAAACCCCTAAACCCTAAACCCCTAAGCCCCTAAACCCCTCCCTAAACCCCTAAACCCCTAACCCCCAATAAGCCCCTGAACCTCGTTCGCCGTCGAGTTGCGGCGACTCCATGCTCGGGTCTCCAGGTGTGGTAGTCACCGAAGCTCGCGAAGGGATCGTGGAAGAGATGCGTCCTGCTGTTAGGAATTACTATTAGTATGACTTAGGGAAGTATCCCCCCCATAACAGTATATACTGTTGATGGACAAAATCCTGCATGACCCTAAGGACTCTAAACTATGGGATAATCCTTATAATGTGTAATCCAGGATTTTGTCCATCAACAGTGTCATGGGAGGCTTCTAAGCTGAGAGTTTTTTGGGGGTTTTAACCTTTTGGGCGTAGGGGTTTATGGCTTACATGGGAGGTTTCTAAGCTGATAGTTTTGGGGTTTTCACCTCTTCGGTTTAGGGGTTTATGGCTTACATAGGTTTATAGACCTTACGGGTGCGCTGGGGTGGGGTCTTTAAAGCTACTAGCGCGTCGCACTCTAGCCATGTATGCTTTGCCAGGTACATGCGGAACACCGTGGCTGGCTTGGCCAATGTGTGGTTTCGGGGCCTGCGGTTGCAGCCAGCCACTCCGGAAACCCTGTCCGGAACTGCTCCTACGTACCAACGCTGCCCTTCGGCTAAACCGAAACATTCGGGATAGGTTTCGGCACACCCTCAAAGAGAAGGGCTCGCTGCCAAGCTCCAGGAAACTCTGCCTCAGGGGGGAAAAGGAGGGACCCTTAATGGGGACCCCTACCCTATAATGGGCTATATATGTGCCAGCATCCGCGCACCCCCCCCCCCCCCCCCCCTCCCCCCCCCATGGTAATCCCCCTCCCCCCCCCTGTGGTTCCTGTGGTTCCCCCCCCCCCCTGTGGTTCCTCTTGGTTTTCCCCCTCCCTTTTGTGGTTCTTCTGGTTCCTGTCTCCCCCCTCCCCCCCTGTGGTTCCTGTGGTTCCTCCGCGTGGTTGCTGCTGCTTTGTTGTTGCTGCTGTTCTTCTTCTTGTTCTTGTTCTTGTTCTTGTTGTGTGGTCGCCCGGGTCGGGGGGGGGGGGATACCATTGGGGGGGGGGGGGGGGGGGTCGGAGCGCGGGCACATATAATGGGTATATACTAGCTATGTTAAGGGTATATACCAGGGGTCCTTATTAAGGGTCCCTCCTTTTACCCTGGGATCTGCCTGCAATCCGGCTCCTGGAAAGAATAGGCAGGCACTGAGTCGTCACCTCCATTGCCAACACAATCAATGTCCCCGTCGACTGCCAATGGTCGTTCTGCATCAGCACATACCGCGAAGAAAGACCGAGCTGCCGAGGTGTTGCTGCTGGCAGGTCGTGGGGGCCCGGAGGGCTCTGCAGCACGACCTTGATGTGATATCGCGCTAAGGTGGACTTGAAGATGCAGGCCAAGGGGATTGTCCAGAAACAACGGTTTGAGATGGTTGAGTTAAGCTTTAAGGCTAAGGTACGGCTTAGGCATCAGGGCTAATTACGAGGGTTTAGGGTTTTCGGGTTTAGGGCTGCGGGGCGTAAGGTTTAGGTCCTAATAGTTTGGGGTTTAGGGTTCAGGGTTTCATGGTCCCTACCTGTAGTTTGCAACGTGGCTGCTCTTGCTGGTTACCACGATTTTCGATGAGATCATGACCAAAAACAGGAACTACACTACACAGAGACTCCGTGTATCCACTAAACCACCTAAGCATTGAACTCGGTGGGTTTCGAGCTTGTAGGATTAATAGGTTCAATTCGGGATCCAAGCAATAGAGCCTAACTGCAGCAAAGTGCTAATTGTCAATCTTCCTTAAGTCTGTCCTAGATGATGCAACTACGCACTGAGCCCTGACAACACCCGCCGAAAAAGAACACCATGTAACTCTTTGAACTTAAGAACCCTCCCAAACACACTTCTGAGGTGTTCGATCGGGCTCAACCCTTGGCGGCCTTAAACCCTCTAAACTTAATCCTACACCCCAAATCCTAAATCAGCGTACCTGATGCCCGCAGTCTTCTCCACGTGATGGAGGTCGAAACACTGCGCCAACTTCCCTTCGATGCCTCTTCGCCTTCGGCCAGACACAAGCGCAGGAGCTTGGGTTTAGGGCTATACGGCTTCAAGGTTTATAGGGTTCAGGGTTTGGAGACTTTAGGTCTCCGGCAAAGCCTGATCCCCAGTTGTCTTTGCAGGCTGCTATAAAGCTGCCGTAACATCAACTGCAACTCAGTATATGGGATTGCCGGTACTTTGCCTTTGACACTCTGACTCGGTGCAAGCACGGTAGTCACTGTCAGTGGCGCGCAGAGCCAAAATAAAGTAACCTGCAATTTAGGTTGGGCATAATTTCAATTTCTAGTCAGAGCCTGTTTACCCCTCACAGGCTTTCGTGTCATGGGCAGCATATTGCAGCCATACAGCGGGACCCCAGAAGGAAGAAATGCAGTCCCAAAGCCTCGACATTCTGTCCCCCCAAAATCCCTAAGCGTGCATGTACTCCCTGTTGTGAGACTTTGGGTCCTTTTGGGGTACCGCCCTCACCTTCAATCCCATCCAAAGCAAGCTCAAAGGGAGTGATACGATCCAGAGTTTAATCACTTTAAATAGTATATACTTTGGCCACAACAAACCCGTTTAGGGGCTACATTAAGGCCAAAGAGTATACTACTTGGGCACATGGACGAGTTGAGGCTCTTAGGAGAGCTCCGGCGAGTTGTCTACACTACCTGCTTCCAGAGCCAAGGGACGCATACTGGAAGAATGTGCCGTTCGTTGGAACCACGCATTTCTGCCAGTCTGGCATCACCTGAGCGAGCGAAACGGGTGTAGTCTGGGATGTGAGGCTATTGGACCAACGGGAAAGACTTCAGCTTTCCCAGAAACTCCAATATCCCTTAATTAAGGAGTATACCTTAAATCATATAAGGGATCCTACCATAATTTAAGGATTATTCCTTAATTAAGGGATATTGGAGTCTCTGGGTTTGCAGAACTACGTTTAAGGGCGTTAGAAGAGGCCAGGACGAGGCCTCAGCACTCATCTGCTAGGACCCATAAGGAATCTCCGAAGCTTAGTTGGGCGATTTTCTAGCCGGAATCTCTGGTAGAATATACTGTGATATCCTACAATAAATATACTATAGTATTCCATAATATTACTGTAATATACTCAAACATTCAAAATATTTTGCTATAAAAATCTTCGAAAATATTCTACAATACTATGCTATGAGATACCCCACACTGTGGCGGTAGAGACCTGCCAGCTTACAGCCGACACCACGGAACCATCCCCCTTTCCAGAAGCGTCGAGACCAGCAGATTGAACCGCAAAACCCACTACTCCCTGGATCATGGGGACTGCTATTGGGGATTATATAGGGACCATTATAGGGATCCATCCCCCTACTCCCTACTAAGCACCAGGGAGACTATGTAGCACAAATCAGATACCTCAATCTTATGGACATCCCGCTGTCCCAAATCACAAACCTCGCTTGAAGGATCAGTGGGGCTGGTACGTCGGTAAGAACTAGAGTTATAAGTTCGCGTACGTCGGTAAGAACTAGAGTTGAAGTTATAAGTTCTAGGCACCCCAATCGGGAACGCCTCTACCAAAAGCCCTACTCCCCAACATCTCCATGTCCTGGCAAGTCGCCTGGTGCTTCGAGTTCGTTTCACTGCAGGCCCTGATCGGGGGTTTAGGGTTTAGGGTTTCTGGGTTTAGGGTTTCTGGGTTTAGGGTTTCGGGTTTCTGGGTTTAGGGTTTCTGGGTTTAGGGTTTAGGGTTTCGGGTTTAGGCTTTAGGGTTTCTGGGTTTAGGGTTTCTGGGTTTAGGCTTTAGGGTTTCTGGGTTTAGGGTTTCGGGTTTAGGCTTTAGGGTTTCTGGGTTTAGGGTTTCTGGGTTTAGGGTTTAGGGTTTCGGGTTTAGGCTTTAGGGTTTCTGGGTTTAAGGTTTCTGGGTTTAGGGTTTCGGGTTTAGGCTTTAGGGTTTCTGGGTTTAGGGTTTCTGGGTTTAGGGTTGAGGGTTTCGGGTTTAGGCTTTAGGGTTTCTGGGTTTAGGGTTTCTGGGTTTAGGGTTTAGGGTTTCGGGTTTAGGCTTGAGGGTTTCTGGGTTTAGGGTTTCTGGGTTTAGGGTTTAGGGTTTCGGGTTTAGGCTTTAGGGTTTCTGGGTTTAGGGTTTCTGGGTTTAGGGTTTAGGGTTTCGGGTTTAGGCTTTAGGGTTTCTGGGTTTAGGGTTTCTGGGTTTAGGGTTTATGGTTTCGGGTTTAGGCTTTAGGGTTTCTAGGTTTAGGGTTTCTGGGTTTAGGGTTTAGGGTTTAGGCTTTAGGGTTTCTGGGTTTAAGGTTTCTGGGTTTAGGGTTTAGGGTTTCGGGTTTAGGCTTTAGGGTTTCTGGGTTTAGGGTTTCTGGGTTTAGGGTTTAGGGTTTCGGGTTTAGGCTTTAGGGTTTCTGGGTTTAGGGTTTCTGGGTTTAGGGTTTAGGGTTTCGGGTTTAGGCTTGAGGGTTTCTGGGTTTAGGGTTTCTGGGTTTAGGGTTTAGGGTTTCGGGTTTAGGCTTTAGGGTTTCTGGGTTTAGGGTTTCTGGGTTTAGGGTTTAGGGTTTCGGGTTTAGGCTTTAGGGTTTCTGGGTTTAGGGTTTCTGGGTTTAGGGTTTAGGGTTTCGGGTTTAGGCTTTAGGGTTTCTGGGTTTAGGGTTTCTGGGTTTAGGGTTTAGGGTTTCGGGTTTAGGCTTCAGGGTTTCTGGGTTTAGGGGTTTAGCGGGGGTATAAGTTGGGTCGGTTGAATTACACATGTTCGGGATTCCGTCTTCAAAACGACGAAGGGTCCCTTTTCCTTTCAGGGATCCTCTTCTGATACGGTTGATGATATAGATCCTGCATTACCTTAAGGACCCTAAACTGTGGGAATTATGGTATATATACTACGAGTAATGCAGGATTTCTATCATCAGCCGTAGGGCTCCTCCTACTATTTACAACTCGCTTAGCATACATGTTCTGGTCGACGATGAGCTGCCACAAAATACTTGGGGCCTACGCCGTTCCTCGTTTGCTCGCGACAACAAAGAGACGCGGACTCACAAGTGCATGTCGAAGGACCTCATGCACTTTTATCAGGGTTTCTGGGGCATTGATTTGGGGTCGTTAGGTCGCCAAGGGAGCCATTGAACCTATCAGGGGGTACCAAGGCGGCTATCGTTTAGAACCTCCAATAGCAGGTTCTTTGACTTCAGGCCTGAATGCTATGTAGTCTATTGAGCCTGCTCCCCGGCAAACAACAACAACAGCAACGGCAACAACAGCAACAACAAGAGCCTGGCACGATCGCGGCGATTGTTTCGAATCGCTTGCTGCTGCCGCCACTTGGCCGTGCAAGCATGAAGAATCGACCTCCATCTCGTTCAGGTTTAGGGTTCAGGGGTTTAACGATTCGGGGTTTCAGGGTTTGGGTGTTTATGGCGTAAGTTCCGAGTGTTGCAGGGCGCAGGGGTTAGAACTGCAGGGTTTAGGAGTTGAGGGTTGCTTGCTTCCGGGTGAAGCCTATAGGCCCAGGTTGCAAAGTTCTCTGGCCCAACGAAGGTTACTTAGAGGATCATGGTTCAACGTTGCTTACGTTTTTTTTTGAAGCTCGCGCTGTGGCTTTTTTTTCGGCGTAGGGCGTCGGGATGAAAGTTTTTGCCTTAGTGTGTAAGGGAGGTGATTGAGTACATACAGGTAGACCTGATGATTTTTACATCTGTGTATGTTCTTGCCACAGCTGTCATGTTCACCATGACGTCAAGCCTTTGATCCTACCGATAGGATCCGGGACGCGAAGCTCGAAGTAGGTTTTTGAGGGCCCAGGGCGTATATATAGAGTTCGGGGTCAAAGCTCAGGGCTTTTAGTTTGGGGGCTAAGCGTAAGAATACACAAAGCAAGGTACTTTTGGCTCTGCACCTAGCACGCCCCACTGCAAAGGACATATGTGACAAAGACGTATGTATATAAGTGTACATGTTTACATATTTGTGCGCGACAGTAGGACCTAGGTTGAAGCAAGTCTGGCAACCATTGTACATATGTATGCAAATCCAATGTAGAACCCTTCTACAACCCTCGAACCAAGCCCCAAACCCTCCACCCCCCAGAAGCCCTGGGAAGACGCTGCGATTTCTGAGGTCCAGGCGGAGTTTCGACTGTGCCCTTGGCGAAGCGCACGTAGATCTGCAGGTGACGTTGGGATAGGGTTTAGGATTGCGTTGGGAGTAAGGATTTTAGGTGAGGGTTTAGGGTTGTGACTTTGGGAGTGAGGGATTTACAACGAATCTCCCAATGTTATTCTGATTTGTAAAAAAATTCGCGGGTTGTACCAGGGCTTCGGGGCCATTTTGGGTTTCGAGATTCAGGGTTTTGGTGTCAAGGCGAATACAGCTAAGCAAGATCGCTGCTCTTCATCCCAGGGATTCCCAGGGTGTATGACCCTATTCTGGCTTGATGTTTAACACACACAAGGTTTCAGCTCAAGGGCAAAGACAAAGAGTCGAAGAGTACGAACCATCGAAAGGGCCATAGAGATGGATGTCAAACGCATCATGTTGACCAGAAGTACGGAGATGTGCAACAAAAAAGACGAGCTCTCAGCAGCCATGAGACAGTTATGAGATCGTCGACATACCTGCAGTTCTCATTGTTGTAATCGTCGTACCAGCAGCACTCGTCGAGTTGGGAGTTTCCGAAAATAGGGGACCCTAATATAATAGCCTAAATAATAGGCTCCTTATTATAAGGACCCCAAAATAAGGTACCCCTATTTTCGGAAACTCCCAGTTAGATCCGGGGGAGACCCCTGGCCCAACTCACACGATACTCTGAGCACATTTTTTCTGCACCTGCCTCTTCGCCAGAGGTGCTGAGACCAAAACCAATACTCCCCATCATCAGGGAAGTGAACCGGTGCAGTGGAGAGGCTGTTGGTCCAGCTTCTGGTGCTATCTTTAAACCCAGACTCCAGGGAGGATCCAAAAAGTAGATCCCTTAATGGGGGTTCCTATAAAGTACCCTTATAGTAGAAAAGGATCCCAACTTAGGGGATACTTTCTAGATCATCCCTGGGGTCTGGGTAAGGAGGTTTCAATGCCTAGCACGAAGTAGCTGTAAATCAGGCTTCAGGTGACTATAGAAACTGTGCCGACCTGGCAATGCTGGAATCCTGCTCACAAGCTGAAAATCAATGCCAAACGAAGACTGACGAAACCCTGCCGGTGTGGAAAGACGTACTTAGTGTTCGAGGTGAGAAGCAGAGATTTACGTACTCCAGACGAGCTGTGGCTTCGAATTTACCGCTTAGAGGGCTTAGGCTCTCTAAAGTCACTTATTTCACTTTACTCACTAAACCCTTAACCGTATAATCCTGTAAGTAAAAAGCCATGTGGAGCGCCGTCACTGAAAGAAGAGAATCAGGGTGTAGCGCTCACCCGACGCCATCCGTGTAACTCCGTGGAGCAGTGAGGACGAGTGCACCTGCATGGCGATGGGGGGTGGGGGGCTGGGGGTTGGTTCAGAGAACAAGGCATTCCTTGGGTGTTTCTTCGAGGGATCCTTTAAGAGGTTTGTTGGGGGTCTTTGATTTGAGGGTTACCTGAAGGGTTCAATTAGGGTTCTTTGGGTTCTTTCTTCGGGTGCCCTATCTGAAACTCCCGCGCCCCAGCTGTCGGCCGAAACGTCCTACCATCAAAGAAGCGTGGAAGCAAATGAAAGAAGTAGTGCAGGAGACCTAAAACCCTAAACCCTAAACCGTACACTTTCCGACGATGGCCTTTGAGATCCCAGACCCTATGCACCGAAGCTGCCAGCCGCAAACGTCTATAAGAGTCACCTATGGTCTTCATTGTAGTTCCTTTTGGGGGGTTACCTTTTAGGATCCTTCATATAAACTTGGTTAAGCCAGAAAAAGGAACTACAATGGAGACTATGGGCAGAGTCTACCCGAAACCCCAAATCCCTATAGTTCAACACTGCAAAGCCTGAACAGCCTGGGACCTCCAAGCACACACTCTCACCCTAAACTTACCTTTGGTGACAAGGGAATGAAGGAATGGGGTAGAATTATAATAATTACTACTATTACTACCATTCTTCCATTTCCTACTGACCAAATCAAAGGTAAGCAAACCCTCAAACCTAGAACCCAATTCCCGATAGTTTGGGGTTCTGGGGTGCAGTAGCTAAAGTCCAAGATTATTCCTAGAAGTTTTGGGTTCCTTAAGGTCAGAGGGTTATAAGTAGGGTAACTATACTTATAACCCATATTAGGGGACTTATAACCCTACTTATAACTACCCCTGGTGTGCAGACACTGTAATGTACCTCAAAGCCCTGCTCCAATTATCAGATTGTGGGTTCCCGGATTGTGCGGTTTAGGAATACGTTCTCGTAAAGCCCTTAACGTACGGAACCCTGAGGAAGAGTGTTTGTAAGCCTGCAGGCTTCAATGCTATGTGGATGTTGACTTCTGCTACGGTCTGCGGTCGAACCAGTATAACTAGGCTGTTCAGTAACCCACTGGGAAAAAGGATATAACTAGTTCTTAGGTTTCTTATTTTATAATAAGAAACCAGAAACCTAAAAGTAAAACAGTGTACCACTGAAAAGCCTGGATAATATTGGCCTTTCAGTACCCCCATGCAGGGAATCCAACATCGCTCTATGAAGGGCATCAATAAGCAGTAGTTCTCCAAATGAGGGTCCCGTTTTAAGTCCATAAACCATTACGGCACCCCTATAAGATAAAGACCCGAAAGGCACCCTCATTTAGAGAACGACCCAACCTGCAAACAAAAACATCGGAAATCTGAACTGAGCAGCCGTGACGTCGCCAGCATGCCGCTGCATCCTTTGATCAAGAGCAGGAGGCGACTTAGCTAGGCTAGTTAGAAACGAGTACCAGGGGCGGGGCTTTTGGGTACACATGGGTGGTTGTCAAAATTATGGTCCTTTTTGCGTCCTTATTATAATACGGCACCTAATATTTAGGGTACCCAAGAAGGGACCATAATTTTGACATATGTTAATAATTAGAAACTATGTAGTATAAGGGGCGGTAAGAGATGTTGTGAGGGTTGGGTATGCCAGAGGGACATTGTCTGAAGGAGCCTTAAGGAATATGTAAGGAATATTGGCAATGGCAGGATTTCAGGTTCTTGTATCATTCGAGGATGTTCTACAGAGGGACCCCAGAGAATGACCAAATGAGTGGCGAACCTCCTGTCAAAGTTTAGCTGGACGGTCAAGGGTGCGCCCCCATGCATCGAATTCGAGCGTTCGCCCTGCTTCCAGCTCAGCCAAAGGTCAGACAACATCAAGATCCAGAGGCCCAGAAATAGGACTTGCATGATCACTGCGAGCCTTAAGCTACCCTAGGCTACTCTGTTGCTTGCCCCTATACATGCCGTAAGGGTTCTAATTCCAATGAAAGTCTGTCTACCAGACATCAGAAAGTAGGGGTTGGTAGCTGGAGCTAGAGGATCGCAAACCACAAACCCTAAACCCTGAACCTTAAATCCCAAACCGCAAATCTGAAATCGTGTAAACACAAAACACTAAAAGGAAAATGCTGAACCCAAATCTCTGAATAAACCCCAGCTCCTAAACCCTAACACGGTAAACCCTGACACTCTAAACGCCAACTCCTATGCCCGGACTTCGAAAAATTTGGATCCTCATCATAGCGATCCCTTAGAGTAGGCTGCAGCAATCCTTCTAGTACCAGTGGTGGAGAAACAGTGAAAGGTAGTCCTCAAGCCGTGGACTAGACTACACGGACTACTATTACTACCATTCCTCCATTCCCTACTAACCAAAGGTAAGAAAATGGTCCAACCAAGGCTCGGATGAATGCGCCCCCCGACGAAGCCCAGCAGCTGCCCTCCGGCGCCCTCCTGCAGCCACGGGGGTTGAATCCCTAAGGGTTCCTTTAAAGGGGTCCATAAGGGTACTCTAAGGGATCCATAGGGTTTGGGGTTTAGGGTTATGATATAAGATGATATGGGTGGTTGTCAAAATTAGGGCCCCCTTTTGGGGTACCCTAAAATATTTGGTGCCGTACTATATTAGGGACTCAAGAAGGGATCCTAATTTTGACAACCACCCATCTGGGTTGTAGTTCCGGGGCCCTTAAAAGTATTATGATTAGGTACAGAGGAACCATAAACGGAAACATACAAGTTTCCCTAAGTGCCACCTAGTTTTGTTGCTTAGGGTGTTTAGTTTTGGGGCTTTAGGGTACGGGCTTAGAGGTTAGGGTTTAGGGATTTAGGAGGCTTCGGGTGGGTTTGGAAGGTCTTTCTACTGGCAGTGTTCTTGTCTTTTGAACCTTCTTCAGGGCTTTGCTCGAGGCCAGGTTCCAAGGACCGCACAGGAAGTCGGGTGTAGGGTTACCGTTTTGGGGCAGCGATTGGTGGGTACTTGGGTTGAAGGTAGTAGGGCAGGTTACCAGGCTACTTGGAGGGTCGGGGGACTTAGTAAGTAGGTAATACGTTGAGTTATAAGTACCCCAAAACGGATCCTAACTGGGGTTATGGTACTTATAACTCTATCAAATAACTACTTAGAAAGTCCCCCGGACCCTCCAAGTATGGCTGACGCACGACCGAAACTCTGCACTCTTGGCGTCTCGGAGACCTGGAGCGAAAGAGCTGCACGAAATTCAAGCTGAAAGCCAAAGTCCAAATCCCCAAGACCTCCAAAGCACAAGTCTAAACTCTAAACACCGAAAGATAAGCCCAAAGCTGCAAATGTGCCAAGCTTAGATCTCAAGCCCCCAATCCCAGACACACGCTAAACCTTAACCCTACTTGGAGGATCATAGGACCTATAGTGAATAGGGATATAAGTATCTTAACCAATTGTGGTAACAAGTAGATGTAAGTATAGAAACCTTGCTGCAAACCCGATAGATACTAAGGACCATGATCCTTTCAGTAGACCCTCAAACCCCATCAAGTATAGATCCCTTTCAGGCACCCTTTAAAGTACACACTAGGTTCCAGGATCCTTTGAGTAGACCCCGCAGCCTCGTCCGACAGCGCCACGTTCGCCGTTACTGTGGCAATGTCCGCGTGCATCCTCAGGTCATGATGGTTCAGAACTGGTGTTTATGCAGGGTTTAGAGGCTTAGGGAGGGTTTGGGGCTTAAGGTTCTACGGGGTTAGGGAGGTTTTCGGACT